GGTATCAGAAGTCCACTTGAGGACCACAACTGTGTTGACTATTGTGTCCTCAGAATGTAGGACAATAACTGATGCATTGGATATGTACCATTAATATATGTTGAATAGACAAATAGAATTCAGAGGTTATGTGATATTCTAGTTACCTCATGAGGAAGCCAACTGAAGGTGAGCTCTTCTAGCTCTCGTGAGTTCAAGCATATAGTCCTATTTCAATGACTTCTGGATTTTCCTAGAGCTATCCTCTCATTCCATGAGAGCTATCTTCCCAACATTATCACCAGAAAGAAAACCTAACAACTTTCATGCTCTCCCAAGTTTGCAGCAGATAAAATCTCTGAGACTTCAAAGCTGTATACTAGTTTTTTCTAACTCATTGGTTCTACAAACATTTATTGAGTATCTATTATACAACAGACACAGTGCTAGGTACTAGAGAGAGACATGGAAGGTCTGAATCTCTTCAAGAAACTCAAGTCTAGTAGAGACAACAATTAATGTCTTTTTATGGCAGTTGATAAATGCTGGGAAAGGGAGAGTCAGTTTTCCTCACTGGTGTGATGCCTGGTAGGTTGATTGCCTCCGTTTAGAAATTGAGGCATCTTATAGAGGAAAAGATTATGGACTTTGGTGTGAGATTGGCTCCAAGAGATAAACCCACATCCAAGAGCATTTAGAAAACTCAGATTAGACTCAATAGGCCCTTTAAAAAAAAGACAATAATAGAGGACATGAAGTTTGGGGCAGGCAGTAGGGCAGGGTAGAGAGTGGGGAGGGTTCTGAATATAATCAAAACACTTATTTACTTATTTGTTTATTTTACGTGTATGTGTTTATGCCTAAGTGAATGTGTGTGTACCACATGTGTGAGGAGGCCAGGAGAGGGCATCATATCCCCTGGAACTAGAGTTAGAATCAGTGGTGAGTTGCCTGATGTGGGTGCTGGGGACTGAACTCAGGTCTTCTGGAAGAGCAGTATGTACTCTTAACTGATGAGCCATCTTTCTAGACATAAATAGCTTTTTAGAAATGGAGGTGGCTTATAGAGTAAAAGATAAAGGAGTTTGGTACGGGATCTGGGTCTGAAATGAAACTTTATCATTTAATTACCAATAAAGTATTAGGAGAGTTAGCTCCCTTGAGCTTTTATTTTTCTTTATCAGTAAATATGTCGTAATTAGAACACCAACTTCATACAGGTTTTATGTGGATTAAATGATAACTGTATAGCATGTAGCTGAAGCCCATCATAAATGACCACCTTTCTGTTTGAGGCTGTGAAGGATAAGAGGAAAGACCAATGAACCCAATCTATAGAAGCCAAAGATTTGATGGAAGTCATGAGAGTTGTATTTGTTCTTAAAGATCAGTGGGCCATGACAAGTGGAGGATGATGTGGGCAGGGAGGAACCTTCTGACAGAGGGAACAGTTTACTCAAAGCTTTGAGAGCCTGAAGTAAGCTGTTACATTTAGAGAGCAGCAAATGCTTCCAGATGCCTCATGTACTGGTGGGATAGTGGTGGAGACAGAAAGGTGTGAAATGACATCATTCAGGGAAAGGAAGAAATTCTGGGACTTCTTTGTCCACAGGGAAGAAAGGGCCTCTGAGAATCGCTGCCCTGTAACCAGACATTACTGGTCTCCCAAGTAAGAGGGTGTCCAAATAGCCATTAGTTCTCCTGTGTACACAATAAGATGATGCCTTTCAGATAGATGGAGAACTTGGAGGTCCGTTTACAGCTCCTTCCAAATGACTCACAGTAAATCACAGTAGTGTTCAGAGTTTGGTTTGAATGGGTCGTGGCTGTGATTTAATGTGATAATATCCATATAACTTGCTGATTTCTCTGTGGTGCTGTACACTAGCTAGCTACCTCTCAATGACTCCATGGGATCTAGGAAGATCCTGTTACTACATGTAGGGACGAGAAAGCTGGAGTGCTGGTCAGAATGGAGATGGTGGAGGGAAAGCCTTGCTTCTTAAGTAATGTTCCACGTAAGTGCCACATCTAGGATAATGTGTTATGGTAAGCACATAGAAATCCCTTTTTGATAGGAGGAGACTTGAGTGTACATGCTCAGGCCCACATGGCACGTTTACCAGGGGAGCCGCCCACTCCTGTTCCTCCTGTACCACACACCACATTGCTTTCACCTCAACCAGCTTGTTGGGGCTCTGGAGACATACTCACAGTCTCGGTTCTGAACCCTTGTTTATAATCCATCTTAGTCCCACTTCTCAACCTACTGCGAATTGCCTGTTATGATAGAGGGTGTGGGTCCAGAATTCCAAATTCCTAGTCTGCTGCTTAGTGATGCCGTAGGTGCCTTTCGCATGCACCCATGAAAACGATACAAACACTGTCTCCTAACAGGATAGAGGTGAACTAGATCTTGTGTACCCTGCTTTCTTCTTCCCTTCCTCTGAATCGCTGCCTTCTTCCTCCTCCATCACACGTACAGACAGAAGTTCCAGTTCCATGAATGAAGGATTCTGTGTGAATATAGCGTTATGCACACAGAGAGCTGAGCATGGGGTACATCTCAGCACTGAGGCAGGAGGATTGCCATGAGTTCAAGGCCAACCAGGGCTGTATAACAAGACAGTATCTTGAAAAACAAAGAAAAAAAAATTATTCACATCAAAGATTAGTACTCTAATTCTCTTTGTCCCCTCTGAAGATTACTATCCATTTCACTGTGGCCCAGTTCTTTGTCCCTGACAACTCTGGATGTGATCCAGTGTAGAATTCCTTCTCCTCCTCACATATTTGTGCCGGGATGGCTAACGGCTGTCACAGAAAAGCTTTAGAGTTCAGAGACTTAGATCTATAAAAGGTTCCTTTTTATTCATAGTTATTGCGGGTATCTGTCTTCAGTCATAGAGAGGAGACAAGGTGCTAGAGGGGATTCCTGTTTCATTCAGTGATTCCCGCCACCATCAATATCCCTTACCAACGGTGTGGCACTTCCTTTCCATCACAGAGCAGTTTTGGTGCCTTTTCAGACTTCCTTTCCTCCCCTTTGTCTGTCATCTTCCTCAAAGTCTTGGCCTATGCAAGGATGAGCAGGCTGTGCCTTCCCCATCCAGAAGCAAGAGGAGCAGAGCAGGATGGACTTAGGGTGAGACACTGTGGGCCAGGAAGCAGAAGGGCAGACCTCACGCCCACTCCTATGACTGCCTTAACTGCAGGAAATGATAGCCTCAAGCTTGCAGTGGGCCTCCAGTGGGCTTGGTGAATAGCTAGCCAGGTTACCATGACGTGGATCTTCAAGGTCACAGTCACAGAACATTATGTGAAAATCTGGCCATCAGAGTGTGTCAGTGGTGTGTCAGTACGTCAGCAGTAGTCCTTGTAATCTCTGTCACATCCATGGAAAACCATCAAAGGCAAGCTAGGGATGGGTGTTGACTCTAGCTCTGGAGATGCTGCTTGAAGAAGCCTCATGAGTTGGCAAGTTGGAACCAGGCCTGAAGCCTGAGAGGCCCATGGGAAAGAAATGTGCTGAGGATTGTGGATAGACACAGCCATCAAAGAGACCAGCCAGTAGGATAGGGAATTGGTTAATGAGCTCATCCTTGCACAAGTCTTTGAGGAAGATGAGAAAGAGGAGGAGAGGAAGTCTGTGAATAAGGGACAAAAAAATCCTCTATGATGGAAGGGAAGTGCCATAGCATTGGTAAGAGATATTGATACAGGTAGAAAGCCAGTAGGAGGCAAGAGGGAGGGAGTGTCAGATGAGGCTGAGCAGCTGACTGGAGGATCCCAGCCCCACTGTGTGGTCCTCAGGTGGCAGGTGTGAGACCAAGCAGCCTTTAGCTGAGCACACCACAGTCTCCTCAGGGTACTGTAACAGTATACCCTAGGCTAGACTACAAACAACAGAGCAAGCCACAGAAAACTCATGTCTCATAGTCACAGTGGCTTGGAAATCCAAGATCATCAGAATGTTGGTATGGGCAGGTTCTGATGAGAATTCTCTTCTGGGTTGTACAGTGCCGTTCCCTGGCCTCTTCCTGTAAGGGCACAAATCCCATTCCTAAGGACTCCACCCTCAGGACCTAATCACTTCACAAAAGCCTCAGCTCCAGAAAAGATCACACTTGATTTAGGGTTTCATCATATGAAGGGAAGCAGGCAACAAACTGTGCGGCTCTGGTTGGAGAGAGACTAACGGCCCCAGGGTCTTCACTGAGGTATGCTGGTAGAGAGAACAAATCAGGAGGTTCGAGCGTAAGCAGCGTCTCACCGAGGCCCCAGGTGGAGGTACTGTTGTCTTGTAAGTGGAAAACAGATCCAGAATGGGCCACAGCTGATCTGAATGTAACAGAAGAGCTAGACAGATAAACCTTGGACTGAGGAGGACCGTGAGCCTCCTTCCTTATGACCGGTGCATGCTGTTGCCTGTAAGTTATACTCCAATATTTCTTTTTTAATGAACCAAAATCCTGTGGGGACAATTTGAAAAACGATAGGTTTCCTGGAAAAGCATCAATTATTTCCTTAAACTGAGGAGGCTGAGTTCTATATATATTTAAATTAAAAAAAATTTTTTTATACAAGTATGTATTGCATGTTGAGCTTGTTTCGCCCCAGGGCTCTTTTCTCCCTCTCCCCTCCTGTTAGTCCTCTTTGTCCCCTAGACAGTTTCATTTTACTTTCATGTCATATATACACACACATTTTATGTCTATACACATTTTTCAAAGCTACAAATAGGGGGTGGGAGAGATAGCTCAGGAGTTAAGAACACTGGCTGCTCTTGCAGAGGACCTGGGTTCCATTCCCAGCACCCACAAGCTGGCTAGCAATTGTCTGTAATGCCAGTACATCCAACATTCTCTTCTAGCCTCTGCAGGCCCGGAGTGCACATGGTGCACTTACATACATGCAGGCAAAACACGTGAAATAAAAATAAATATGAAAACAAAGGCACGTGGCTCAGAGGAAGGGAGGAGCTACAAGTCTGGAGAAAAGTACATTTGAAAATGGAAGTAAGATTTAACCTGGCAGAGGAGACACTATGATCATGAAGGTGGTTTCCCCAGGGTGAGGCTCATTGCACTCCAGATGTGCTGACCCCTGCAATTTCCCCAAAGGTGGAAAACTCAGCTGCATAATTTGTGATAGTGGGGGCTGTGTTGGTACACTTCCCTGAAAAATAAACAAAAATAAAAACGAAAATGAAAACAGCTAATGTGTGAACTATAAGAAATATTTTAAAAAGACTCGAACCACCACAACACAAACTCCTTTGCTGCTCTTTTACTCAGTTCCAGGAAACTTGTGGGAGCTGGGAAAGGTTTCAGCCACGGCTGGAAATGCCTGACACAGATGTGGAAAGTTAGTTTCCTTGGGAAAATAAAAGGATGGATTCTACTTTAAAGGTTAAATTTCGATCTGGGAGCCATAACAGCACTGTCAAATAATTATTATTGTTATTTTTACAAATCTATTTCACTTTAAAACAAGTTGGGAAATTTCTGACTTAGTTTAAATGAGACCTCAATTCTCCCAGGCCGGATCTGCCACCTGAGGCAGGACCGCCTGCTGACAAAGTGCTGCGCTGAGTCATTAAAATGGCAGTTCCCACTGAGAGAGATAAAGAAACCAGATTCCCACCGCAGAGCTGCTGAATGGTAGGGGAGGGAGGAAAGGAGGAGGGCTCATTTTTGCAGGCAGATCTGAATGCTTCTTTTTCATAGGCACTCTTAGTCAATATTTATCTAGCTAGTCAAAGAATTATAACTAATCATTTATCTCTTTTTCCTTCCCATTTCCTCTCTCTGCCTCTTTGTGGTGTACTGAACTTGGGCGACAAAGTTGTAGTTTCTTCATCCTGCATGAGATGTTGGAAGAAAAACCACGGCTGAGGTATTTCCAAATGATCAACTGGTGGCAAGACCTACGAATAAGGTTTAGGTTCCCTAGCATCTGGGTGTTGATCTGGAAAATTAGGGTTTATTAAGTAAGATGCATTTTTTCTAGCTTTCTTAAATTTGTATCATTTAGAAAGGGGTTGTTTAGTGTTGGTGGGGGCTCATGGTGCTGTTTGTAGAGGATTGTCTCTCTCTCTCTCTCTCTGTAAGTGCATGTGTGGATGTAGGTGTTTTCTTGGAGTCTAGAGGAAGACGTGGGGTGTCTTACTCTATCACTCTCTGCCTTGTTCCCTTGAGAAAGAATTTCTCACAGAGAGACCTTGCAGCCAGCAAACCCAGGGATCCTCCTGTCTCTGCTTCCAGCAGCCTAGGGTTACAGACAAGTGTGCCATGATGCTGGCTTTTTGTATGACTAACTGGGATTTGAACTCAGGTCCTCCTGCTTGTGCAGCAAGCTTTCTTATCCACTGAGGCATTTTTTTCATGGTATCATTTGGAGGGGGATTGGCCAACCCAGTCCTGACTTACTACCTTCTGTGGCATGGGATATTAGAATAGATTTCCTGGAGCCAGAAATCTTGTTGGCCATTTTGAAGTGCGGTAGAATGCACAGAAGAGCTCATCTTTACTATGATTTTAGCAGCAATACATCTATCCATCTCTGCTAGTTTGTTTTATGATGTTTCGTATTACCTTTTTGGGTAGCATAGAAAGGGTTTTGTTATGACATTTTCATACATACATATCAGTTTATGTTGTTCTTACCCCCACTGCCCTCCATTATCCCTCTTCTTCTGCCTCTCTGGTGACATTTCCCCCCAGATAATTCCCCTTCTGCTTTCATGTCATATATGTGCATCATGTCACAAGTATGTATGTGTAATATATATTTATATATTATATATAATTTACATATATTTATATAATATATAATTTGTGTATGAGAGAAAACACGAAGATATCATCTTTAGATCTTTACAGTAGAAGAATTCAACCTGCATTTCAGTCATTATTAAGGAGCCATGAAAGAGCCAAGGCTTGGTGCCCTACTGACAGCATGCCTAATCCAAAGCCACACAGCACAAAAAGCCAGTGGGACAGAGATTCACATCACTGGATGCTCTGATTTGTGTGGAGATATGCTTGGGAATACTGGTAGGGAAGTGAAGCAGGCAGGGTTGGAGTGAGTTAAGGGGAAGCGGACGTGGGATACCCTTCCCAGTGGATTCCACAGAGCTCTGGGCTGGGTGATTAAAGATTTCAGAAGGAAGGACAAAGAACTTTCCCTTCATGTCCACACAACAACCAGTAACTGAATGACTGTCCTGGGAGAGAGGCTATTTGGGAAAGGCTACTTATTCCCTTTAGCTCAGGATGTTCCTGTAGACGGTCAGCTGACAACACTCCACAGTTGGGAAGAGGGGGAAGCACTTCAGATCCAGAGAATATGGAGCCCCCACATAGGCCTCTCTTCATGTGTATACCATTTATAGCTGATCCATTTCTTGGAGGCTAAAATGTGGCTCTTCCTTAACATTATCTTCTGAGTATTATTTTCATGGTATTCCACGTCTACTGTCTGGTCTCACATTACAACAAAGTGCTAGACAAGAAGGACTGACATCTAATCTAAATCCCTCCTTTAAAAAATAGAGATGCCGGTCAGGCATGGTGGTGCACACCTTTAATCCCAGCACTCAGGAGGCAGAGGCAGGTGGATCTCTGTGAGTTCAAGGATGCAAAGAAACTCTCTAGCAATTAGATCACAAATGGAACTGGAGGTCTGCTGGAGATGCTGCTGCTGTCACTGCCTCAAAGTCAAGCTGCACCATCAAATTGGGCTGCAGAATCCAGGGACGTTGGAGGCTGGGGAGGCGAAGGATGGGACCAGGTCCAGGTGAACAAATGAATAAATGGATGGATGGCAGGTCATAATAGATAAACAGCTGGACAAATGAATGATAGTTCCAGTAGGCTAAGTGATAATGGGGACTGAGTCAGGCCCTCAGGACTGTTGGGAGCTCTCTGTCAGTCCTCTGATGCACACTCCCATGGTCAGATGATGATCATAGGAACAATCATGAGTGTTACAAACCTTTTCCATGAGGTCCATTTGAGAGTGCTATACCTCATTTTGGTGTGTCCAGTAAGTTCTTGTGAAAACTCCTGTTCTTTCTTAAAAACTCAGCTCAATACCATGATTTCCAGGGAGCCTTCTCATTCCGATAGAAATATCCCCAGTGCTGTCTGTGTTTAACCCAGTGGATCCCTAACCACACAGTTCTCTCTTCACTTTTGTAATCGTGTCTTTCCCACTGAGTTGTGTGCTCCTAGGGAAACAGCACTTAGATGATTCCTACTCCTGGCACTTGACACAGCGAAGGTATTTGAGTAACTGAAGAAGAAAGGCAATTTGGGGCTGGGGATGTTGGTAGAATCCTTATCTAGCGTGCACAAAGCCCTGAGTTCAGGGCTGGAGAGATGGCTCGGCAGTTAAGAGCACTGGCTGCTTTTGCAGAGGGTTCAGTTCCCAGCACCCACATGGTAGCTAACAACCATCTGTAACTCCAGTTCCAGGGTATCTGATGCCCTCTTCTGACCTCCAAGGGCATTGCATGACACACGTATACTTAACACACATACAGGCAATACACTCATAGTGTAAAATAAAAATAATAAATAAAATAGTTTTAAAATACTTTAAATAAACAAAGCCCTGGGTTAGATCCCCAGTAGCACATAAACTGGGCATGGTGGTGCATGCCTGGAATCCAGAACTCAGGAGGATCAAAAGTTCAGAGTTATCCTCAGCTACACAGGGAATTCAGTGTCAGCCTAGGGTATATGAGACACTTCAATATATTACCACCCCCAAGATGAATTTTAGGAGCAGTTTGAACAAAGCCATTGTGGGTGGTAAAATTGGCACTACTACTAAACAGCAGCGAGTATCATGATACCATAAAGGGGACAGTAAACATTCGCGTAAAGGACCAGATAACAAATATTTTAGGCTTTGTAGATGAAGAGGCAAAATCAAAGTAACGGTGTTGGCACTTTGTATAATCATTTAACATGTAACCTCTCAGAGATGTCAAAGCCATTCTTAGCTGTGGTCTTGGAGGGTCAAATTTGGCTCCTGGCTTGCAGTTTGCCAACCTTTGCCATAAAAGATAAGCAGCTGGGGCCCACTGGGAAGAAGAGTCTGGACAAGTGGTGGCCTGATCATAGAGAGCTGCAATGATGAGGGAATATGTAGACTTGATTCTGTGATCGCTGGTGAGCCAACAAAGCAAGAAGTGACAAGATCTGATTTGTGTTTTATAAAGGCCTGAAGAAGGGACGGTTTATCCCTTAGAACAAGCAGAACAACGTCCATCCAGTAGCTTCCTTCTCCCTACATCATGTGGCACTTCAAATGAATTGCAACCCCACCTCTTTCCCAAGTGCAGAATTCCTGGAGCTCTAAAGACTTTGTAATCTCTTACGCAGGAACCAGGAGCCTTGGATTTAGCAGCACACTACAGGAGACAACTTTCCTTATCCCTTCCAAAGACAATGAAAGGGTCATTTGGAACTAGTGGAGCAGAGGCCATGAAGAACATTCTCTGTAGATCTGCAGCTCCCCTCTGCCCAGGTCTCCTGGTGACAATGGGTATTTATCTGACCTTTACTTCCACATCAGTCCACCTCCCACACTTAGTTCCAAAACAGGTCTTAAATCACTCAGGAGCCAAGCCAAGCCAGGCTGAAAGAGGAAGTATGCTTGGCCAAGCCAGTGTTCCAGCACTCTCTACAGATATCAAAACAAAGAGGGTAAAGTCCAGTGAAATCACCTGCAAACAATGAAAGCAAGATGTCTTCTTCTCAAGGGGCTGACCTGGATTAAGATGGTAATATCTGCGAATAAAATAGGCAACTGAATCAGAAGGCTTTCTAGAGTGAGTGGAAGAGTCTGGGCAGCTGAATAAGGAAGTGACCACTGGATATTATAAATTTATGCATGAATTAAATGGGAATTAGCTTTAGGAGACTTGTTTTGATTCAAGGGGGAAAGATCAAGGATGGCTTGCTAAACGCTAACCTCTGGGTGGTCATACTCGCCTTACTGCTCACTGAACTTTCCTCTTCTCTGAAGGAAGGTAACTTTGAACCTGACTGATGGGTCGGCTAGCAGCAAACCGTATTTCACCACTGCCATGCTGGACCTGCACTCTTAAACAATTTTCCTAAAGGAAATGGATTTTAGAGCTGGTGGACGATCCAATCTGTTAGCCC